AATTCACAGGAGCTGGACCAGTGGCACAGTGGTTATGTTCGCGTGCTCGGCTTTGGCAGCCCGGCATTCACCAGTTTGGATCCCAGGCACAGAGGTTTGCACTGCTTATCAAGCCATGTTGTGGCAGGCATCCCATACATAAAGTAGAGAAAGATGGGCATAGATGTTAGCTCAGCGCTAAACTTCCTCAAAAAAAAAAAATTAAGAATTCACAGAAACTTCAGTTTAGAAATTCCTGTTCTGGCACCCTATTCCATAGAAATAAAAGCACAAATATATAACAATGAATATGAACAAAATAAATTATGTATATATACAGATATATATTCAGATTAATTGCAACATCGTTTGTAGTGGCAAAAAATTGGAATCAACTTGAATATTGTCAATAGAGGGATTGTTTAATAAGCTGTCTTCCATTTAAACCATCACATTTTACATAGCTACTTAAAAAAGTGTGTTAAGACTATATCAGATGATGTGGAAAAAATTTCTATAAAGTGTTTCTAAGTGAGACAAACAAGATGCAGTAAAGAGTAAAATAGTGCCCTTATACATTTGTATGTATATGTATGCATGTTACATTATTGTATGAAAATGGTCAAATGTATGAAATGGAAAGATGCACGCCAGGTTTTTAACATTGGATGGCTTTTAACATCCTCCAGTTATCCAGTGGAGGAGGGGATAATGAAATGCAAAAATCCTACAGAGGTAAATGTTTTCTCAATATTAAAAAATATATATATAAAATTACTTTATGTAAATGTACAAGTCTTTATATATGTTTAGAGCTATGTACAGAAAGACAGTTGCCAAAATTGTGCATATTGCAGGGTGTTTTACATTTTTAGCATTTAGGTTTTTTTAAAACGTTCTTCAAGTTTTGAATTCTTAACAATAAAATTTTCAAATTTAAATAAGTTATAAAATTTTAACTTGAAGATTTTCTAAAGCAAACATTATAGAACAGGTTAAAGAATGATCCAGTATATATAGAATGACTTGATCATTCACTCCTTAAGTCGTTCATCAAACATAGATTGAGCAGCCACCATGATATTGTGTTAGGGTGGCTGGGATTACAAAGATGAGTGAAATATGCTCCTTGTTGTTGTACATTGTATATTTGGGGAGATAAATATGTAAATGATTAATTCTAATACGATGCAGTAATTGCTTTAATGTAATTATTTGAAGAACAATAGGAGCAACTGACTCTGCTGGCCTTGGTGGTGGGGAGGCTTCAGAGAGGAAGCCCCGTTTACCCTAGCCTTGAAGAATGAGTAAGCTTTCATCACTCACCAGCCCTAGGTGCGGAAGGGAAAGCAATCCCTTCAAAGAAGAAGGAAACAACACCTAGTCCTATTTCACTCATTCATCAAAGATGTGGAGGAGGCAGTAAACAGCTTATTATTTATAGTCCTAAATGATGATAATGTGGAAATATGGGCAAACATCAGAGACCAAGAAATGAAAATAAAAGCATCAAGGGAACAAGGGACTTTGGACGAGTTCTGATCAGGAAGTAATAAAAGGAGAACCTGCTTCGAAAAATGCAAGCAGATTTTTTCTGAGGGAAGAAAAACTCAAAACTGCATTTAATGGAATGAAGCAAGTGTCAAAGCTCAGCAGGTTATGTTTGTAGTTAGGGAAGAAACATGAGTTGCTGTTCATTTAGGACGTTGTGGAACAAGTTTGGAGAGCAGAGGATAGGTTTCCAAGCGATGATTCATTAGGGAGAAAGAGAGAAGCCACTACCACCACTTCATTGTATAAATTAATCGTAAGCCATACACAGACACTTATTATGAAGTATCTAAAGGTGCGAGAATGCCTGGCCATTGAGGAAAGGTGCCAAAAATACTTGCGTCTCCAAGGAAATCAAACAAGGGCTCAGTAGTCATGGTTAACAGCAGCTCACACAAGACACACCAGGTCTCAGGCAGTGGGGGAGAAAGGAGCAAGAAAGAGCATTTATTTTATTTTGTTTCTTGATGATAATAACAGAAGCCATTTAATCAAATGCTTATTATGGGTCTTATATAATGTCAGCCGTTTTACATTAATTACCTCATTCAGTCTGAGAATGACTCTAAGACATAGATACATACCATCATCATTTCCATTTTATAGATGAAGAAACTAAGTCTTACAGAGGTTACAAAACTTACTCGAGGTCAAATAGCTTTTAGGTGGTCAAGCTGTAAACTGAGATTGAACTTCAAATTCTATTCTCCAAAATGCTCTGCTAGACACTAAGTTATATTCCCCCTGCTACAACCCTAGCCCCAGGCACCATCATCTCACATTTGTATTGTTGCAACAGCCTGTCATCCCTCTGGTCCTACATAGTCCACAACATCCAGTGAACTTACTAAAACATAAATCAGACTACATAACGCTCCCGTATCAAACCATCCAGTGGCTCTCCATTGCATATAAAATAAAATCCAAGTTCTTATCTTATAAGTTCCTATGCGACCTCATCTCTTCCAGCCTCTCCGGTCTCAGTCGTCTGTCTCTGCTCTGCCCCCTCTCCTTGTACTCCAGTCACATTCACCCTTTTGCCGTTCCTCAACCCATTGTTCTTGTTCTTACCTCATGGCATTGCTACTTGCTATTCTTTCTACCCAAACTGCTCTTCATCAAAGTCGTCACACAGCTGACTTTATCTCACTATTTAGGTCTCAATTCAAATATCAACTCCTGAGAGAATATTTCCCCACACCCCCTGGCAAAAGCAGCTGACCTCTGCCCCCCCACCAACATTTTTAACCACCCCTTCACCCAACCCAGATGGTCAGACTATTGGCAATGACCAAAAGATCTGTAAAATATATGCAGAAGAGGTCAACTGCCAGCCAAGACATCCAGTGCTAAGATGACTGTCTAAACTTCAGCCAATTGAGCTGACCCTTGGGTGCTGTCCTTTATCAGAAACATCCTGGTTAAGGGATGAAAAGCAGCAGCTCTCAAGCAAGCTCCCTTAGGCGTGATAGTGATAGCACCTGTTAAGTGAATGAACTCCCTTTGGTATTCACTCTGTTAATCCTAAGGGGCTTCTCAAGTGTCCAAGTGTTCTAATAGACAGATGACCTCTTCTAGCACCGTGGCATCTGGCAACTGACCAAGCACAGGGGAAGTTACCCTCTCCTGGGTATGCAGAGGGTCCAGATTTGCCTTCATCCTGTAGCAAGGAGACCTCACTAGCCATGCTGAGCTTGCAGAGAGCTGCTTCCATGATCAAAGGCATAATGACCAGCTGGATACGGAGGGTCACAGATTCAGGACCTGAGAGAGCCTCTATTCCAGGAAAGTCCAGTATGTGGCCACAAATTGCCACACTAATGGCATATAGTATTGGGTCAAGGAGGGCAGTTCCTTGTATCAGAAGTCCATGGGCGACTAATGGCCATCATGGATGGTCCAGGGACTCCAAGAAGTATGAGAGAAGGTAGCTAAAGCCCCTACAGTAAAGGAGTCTATAGGAGACCATAACAGGAGGGCCTGTTCTATGGCAGTTTAGACAGATTCTAGAGCCTTTTGTTGCAGGGAGTTCCATTCAAGGTGAGTCTGTTTGCAAGTAACAGAAAGAATGGACTTCAGTAAAATTTGTATATGAGGAATGTTACCTCCAGAGTCCAACAACGTCAGCTTGTTTTAACAACATGGGTAGTAAGAAGGCTAAAAGCTGCTTCATGACACTGTCAGGATTGGAGCAGCCCTCAGTTTACCAAATAATTTTCAAGAACTTCACTGGGGTGGCAGGACCTTGTACTATGTGTGTAGGTAATGGACCATCCCCTTTTTGTGAGCTCCTTTGTGAATATTTTTCTTTCCTGAATAAATGTGTCATATGAATCTATTCAAAGGAGGATGTCATCAATGAGACGTCATAATTGTAAACCTGAAAAAAAGCTAGATGTGGTTAAGATATTGCCTGCAAAGAGTATGTGAGATGACAGGAGTGGAGAGGTACCCCACATAGTACCCAGGTAAGCGTGTATTATGTCCCTTTAAGGTGAAGGTTAACTATAACTAAGAGGCTTTTGAAATAGGCACTGAATAGATCATGTTACCCAAATACTTAGCTATGACTGCACAGTATTTCCCAGTTACTTATTGGATGGAATTAGTAATTTCAATAATATTAGATATAGAGCCCTAATAGGTGGGATCATGACATTAAAGGTATAAAAATTCACACTGAGGCACCGTTCACGTTTTCCAGATTTAAGAACAAGTAAAATTTGGCCGTTAAATGCAGAAGCAGTGGGGCTAATTACACCTTCTTTAAATAGGTCTTATATGATGGATTTCAATCTGTGAAGCCCTGTTTTCATTTAGATTGAACATTTTTTTCTTAACTGCGCTGGAAGGTGTTATTATTTTACCGAGGGAGGACAGTCCACAGGGTCACATTTTTACAAGCTGATTATAAGTGCCAAATTCTTAATTTTATTACTCATTGGGTTAGATGGTCCGTGTGCACTAGAGGATATTTTGGAGCAATGAGTGCTCTGGCTATGGGGAATTTAAGCAAGGCAATAGTTCTAATCCTAAAGTTAAGCACATCTGTTTGTTTCTATTTTATGTTCAGTAACTCCCTGGCTGTTTTTATCAGCTTGCCCAGATGTGGGCAAGAAGGAGAAGAGGAAGGAATGAGGCCTAAAAGCTGTCAATAGTCAAACATCAAAAATTGAATCAGATTATTACTCACTGCCACCCCCCACACATCACCCATCTCCCCATCTGGCCACCTTCCCCCGCAAACACACACAGAAACATCAAATTCTTTTCTTCCTTGCCAGTGGGATAAAGTGTTAAGGAGGAAATTTGTCTTCAGTGCTCAGTCTTCACCTAGTCCTTATTCCCAATGTCTGGCTAACTATGGACTGGCTTGGCCCCAAATTTGCAGAATTTTACCTCCCTCCCTTCTCACACACCTGCCCCTTCCCTTCCCATCATTGGAGAAGATGCAGAGATACACAGACATCTCCTTTTTAAAATTTTATTTTAATCATGAAAACATGAGAACTTCATTTTGTCTCCACACAGGTCACCATTGGTGTTAGTTTTGATCTCCACAAAGGTCTCAGGTTCCTGGTAGGCACAGGGAAGTACTTGAAGTGGGAGACTCCTACATGCTTTCTTCATCGTTCTTTGGTTGATTTTCACTCTTTTTTTTAGTCCCCCTGTGATAAAAGACTATTATGTTTGATCTCTTCCCTGTTTGGCGCTTGTCTGCATTCTGCTGAAGGGCTAATTTTACCTTCGCCAGGATGTTCTGCATCTGGTAGGGAAACAAGAGAGCCCAAAAGAACATTAGTTTTGGCAAAGAGGATGGAAAGTAATAGGAAGGGGGACTTTAAGAGAATAGGTTTGGATTTAAGAGGGGTTTTGTGCCAGGCAAGGGTGGGGTAAGAGTCTTGGATAGAGGATTGAAGGGGAAGAAGAGAAGGCGCTTGAGTGGGATAATCTGACCCTTTCAGCTTCTTTGCCAGTGGGTTCCCAGGGGAGCCCATTCTTTCTCCATTTGGTGGTCAGAGGCTTTTGTGCCGTGCATCCTGTTTCTGTATCTGAGCTAGGCTCCTCTGGGTTCTTAGGAATCTCAGTCATCTTGTAAACTGTAGTCTTCTCAAGGGCTACTGACCTCCCTATATATACCCTGCTAGGACAATGAGGAGCCACATCCTTCAGCTTTGATTGGTTAGCAAGGAATTCCTTCAGCCAATGGTAGCCCAGGGGTGGCTTGACATCACAAAGCACCACTCTTGAAAATCCATGGGGCGGGGCAGGGGGTGGGGGGTGTAGAAGAGTCTAGATGCTCTGTTAGAGAAAGAGGAATTTTCCTCAACACCCCATAAAGAGCCTTCCCAGACTCACCTGGCACTCTTCCTCATCTCCTCTGGTTCAGTTCTTGTGGCTCACACGGCAGGGAGAGGGTGTTTCTTCCAAGCAATTTCCCATGGCCACCCCCATTCAGTGGTTCATTCTGTCTGCCAGCTTTCATCATTACCTAGCATTTTGTATTTTTTAACAAACTTTTTATTTGAGAACAGTTTTGGATTTACAGAAAAATTGTAAAGATAATACCCATATACTTTTCAACCGATTTCCCTTATTATTAGCATCTTACATTAGTATGGTACATTTGTTACACTTAGTGAACCAACAATCAAACAGTATTATTAACTAAGGTCTGTACTTTATTCAGGTTTCCTTAGTTTTTACCTAATGTCCTTTATATGTCCCAGGATCCCATCCAAGATACCACATTAAATTTAGTCATCATGTCATGCCTTCTTAGGCTCCTCTTGTCTGTGACAGATTTTTAGACTCCTTGTTTTTGAGGACATGGATAGATTTGCAGTGATGTTTTGTTTCATTTTGTTTGTTTGTTTGTTTGACATTAGATCCTCAGATGTTATTCATATTATAACTGAAAGTTTGTCCATTAGTCCCCACTTGCACAGGGGATATATTCCAAGACCCTCAAGGGATGCCTGAAACCATGGATAGTAATGAACTCTATATACACTACATGTTTTTGCTATACATACATACATATGATAAAGTTTAATTTATAAATTAGGCACAGCAAGAGATTAACAACAATAACTAATAATAAAATAGAACAATTATAACAATATACTGTAACAAAAATTACCGTAGATCTTAGAAAGCTTAGCATATGATTTTTTTTTCTTTCTTTATTAAGTGGAGAACTTTCACCTTTTCCCTTAGAGGAAGCACTTCACGGCTTCTCTTTGGCATATCTGAACTGCCAGTATCATTACTCTTCTGCTTTGGAGCCATTATTGAGTAAAGTAAGGGTGACTTGAACACAGGCACCGTGATACCGTGACAATTGATCTGATAACCCAGATGGCTACTAAGTGACTAACTGGCAGGTAGCATGTACAATGTGTACCTGCTGGACAAAGAGATGATTCACCTCCAGGGAGGGATGGAGTGGGACGGCATGAGATTTAAACATGCTACTCAGAAAGGGTTACACTGAAAACTATAAAATATTGTTAAAAGAAATTGAAGAAGACACAAAGAAATGGAAAAATATCCCGTGCTCTTGGATTGGGAGAATTAACATAGTTAAAATATCCATACTTCCTAGAGCAATCTATAATAGATTCAATGTAATCCCTATCAAAGTTCCAACAACATTTTTCACAGAAATAGAACAAAGAATTCTAAAATTTATATGGAACAACAAAAGACCCTGAATAGCCAAAGAATTCCTGAGAAAAATGAACAAAGCTGGAGGTATCACACTCCCTGATTTCAAAATATACTACAAAGCCATAGTAACCAAAACAGCATGGTGCCGGCATAAAAACAGAAACACAGATCAATGGAACAGAATCAAGAGCCCAGAAATAAACCCACACATCTGTGGACAGCTAATTTTCGACAAGGGACCCAAGAACATACAATGAAGAAAGGAGAGTCTCTTCAATAAATGGTATGGGGAAAACTGGACAGGCACATGCAAAAGTATGAAAGTAGACATTATCTACACCATACACAAAAATTAACTCAAAATGGATTATAGACTGGAATGTAAGACCTGGAACCATGAAACTTCTAGAAGAAAACATAGGCAGTATGCTCTTCGACACCAGTATTAGCAGCATATTTTCAAGTACCGCATCTGACAAGGGAAACAACAGAAAAAATAAACAAATGGGACTACATCAATCTAAAAAGCTGCACAGCAAAGAAAACCATCAACAAAATGAAAAGACAACCTAACAGTTGGGAGAAGATATTTGCAAACCATATAATCTGATAAGGGGTTAACATCCAAAATATACAAAGAATTCACACATCTCAACAACAAAAAAACCTAACAACCCAGTTAAAAAATGGGCAAAAGATCTAGACATTTCTCCAAAGAAGATATACAGATGGCCAACAGGCACATGAAAAGATGTTCAACATCATTAACTATCAGGGAAATGCAAATCAAAACTGCAATGAGATATCACCTCACTCCAGTCAGAATGGCTTTAATTAACAAGATGGGAAAGAACAAGTGTTGGAGAGGATGTGGAGAGAAGGGAATCCTCATACGCTGTTGGTGTGAGTGCAAACTGGTGCAGCCACTATGGAAAACAGTATGGAGATTCCTCAAAAAGTTGAAAATAGATATACCATATGATCCAGCTATTCCACTGCTGGGTATTTATCCAAAGAACATGAAAACATGAATGCATAAAGATGCATGCACCCCTATGTTCATTGCAGCATTATGTACAATAGCCATGACTTGGAAGCAACCTAGGTGCCCATCAAGGGACGGATGGATAAAGAAGATGTGGTATATATGCACAATGGAATACTACTCAGCCATAAGAAATGATGAAATCCAGCCATTTGTGACAACATGGATGGACATTGTGGGTATTATGCTGAGTGAAATAATTCAGAGGGAGAAAGTCAAATACCATGTGATCTCACTCATAAGTAGAAGATAAAAACAATGACAAGCAAACACATAGAAACAGAGATTGGATTGATGGTTACCAGAGGGAAAGGGGGGAGGGCGGAAGAGGGTGAAAGGGGTGGTTAAGCACATGTGTATATATGTATGTATATATATATGTGTATATATATATACATACATATATACACCGTATCTTCTTTATCCATTCATCCATTGATAGACACTTAAGTTGTTTCCATATCTTGGCTATTACGAATAAAGAAGCACATTACCTAGTATTTTGGATGTCCTACCTAAACTCCCTGGGAGCAAATATACCTATATTTATGTTTGAGTAGAGATGTGAATTATCACACTTCCCTCCAACACTACCAGGCAACTTTCCCAGGTTATAAGCCTGCGTGTGTGTGCGTGTGTGTCTGTGTGGTTACTGCATATATGTCAGTGAGGTTCCTCTCTACCCCACTCATATTTATAAGTTTCTTCTTCCAGAGAATCTTAAATCAAGTCAGTGCCATCAGGGTTATGGACCTCCCCATGACAATGTGTGAATTAATTCCTTGGCTTTGTGACAGGGGTGTCATGGATATTTCTCTCTAGAACTCCGAGAATCAGGATTTTTTTTCTTTTGGTGACAGAGGCATAGGCATCAGAAGCAAAAGCATTTTGCAAGGTCCTCATTAGTCATCTGCTTTTAAGAGTGTGACTTCAGCATCCCACATAGTAACTGCTCTTCCTCCACATGAACAAACATTCAGTGGGTCTGTATATTGAACAGACTATCAGTCTTTCTCCTGAGCTCTATAGAGAAAGGTTACAAACACCTGGTTGAGACACAAGGTAAGAGTCATTCCCTTGGGCTATATCATTCCTTGACACTATGTATTCCTTGACACTACGTCAGTCACATCTTATTTTACAATTCAGACACATGATTCAATCTGAGACTCACAAATAGGTCCAGGTTGAGATGCATGATCCAGGACTGTTTTAAGGAAGTCTCCAATCCAATAATCCTGTCACTATACACCAATTTGCTAAACTGACTTATGTCAGTCAAATCTTTAGCAGATGCTTGGCCTACTAGTGCAGCTCAAAGAAGCATAGTTCAAAGCACAAGCTAGCCAGCAGCCAGTAGCTCAAAGTCCATGTTCACCAGAATACAGCAAAACTAGTTAGAAACCCAAAGCAAGAGAAGAAAGACCCCTAGTGGTAGTGGACTGTACCTCCATGTCCTGCTCATATGGCCAATTGTGATGACTCCAGAGAAACAGGATAGATCTTTCACCTAAAATTTGGTTTGACTGTCAAAACTGATGATACATGCACCAAGAGAATATGAAAAAGTTTACTACTCACATAATGAGGCTTTCTGGGGAGAGCAGGGCAGGCTTTCAAGCAGCTTCAAGAATGGCTTGGGAAGCAGAGAAAGGAGACTGACTTGGCTTTTATGGTAGTAAAGGGATGAAGCTGGAGTGAGTGCTCCCACATACATGTCAGGATTTGCATTGTCTGAACTTCCTACTGGACCCACAGAAAAAGTACTTGGGCTTTCTTATCAGATACAGGTAAGTAGGGGAAGAAGAAGTGGTGGGGCTCTTTTATAGAATAGTGTTGTGCAAATGCAAGATGCTCTAGCACATTTTAGAATTCTCATAACCATTGTAACCAAGTTTCCCATACTGTTTTTAGTTTAAGCTGCTTTCCACTAGATTAGCATTTCCCAAATTTTGGTCATTTAAATATTATTTAAATGGTTTAGAATTATCTTAGTTCATCAACAGAGAAACTGTGTACAAAGAGAAAAGACTGCTAGCACCAGCAAGTCTGACACCGTCTACAGGAAAGCAGACCTAATTGCACTATCTGCTGAACTATGTGGGAGTTTTACATTTTTCCCATCCCAGATGATTACTATAGCATCCAAAGACTGTAATAATAATTATAGAAATTACCATTTATTGACCACTAACTCTATGTGGGAATTATTCTAAATATCCATATCCATATTTAATCCTCATCACACTCCTATTGAGGTAAGTGGCAAAACAGCACTTTTGCCAGCTCTGCTGGGACTCCTGAGACCATCTCCATTCCAACTGAAGAGGCAGAAAAGAGCATGGAGGAAGGCATACGGGAATATTTATAAGCCAGTTTCAAAAGGCATATGCATTACTTCTGCTCACACTTCAGTGGTAAAAACTCACATAGCCACACCTAACTGCAAAAGAAAAAGAAAAATGTAGTCTACC